ATTTGGGAGAGTGGTGAGCGAGATCTGGGAGAGTGGCGAGCGAGATCTGGGAGAGGGGAGAGAGGGGAACGAAAATATATGTATATATACAATTTTCTCTGGCTTTATACAAACACAAATGCATTTTATATAATTTGCGTTTTTTGTATAAAATGAGAGAGGCGAGTGAGAGAGCGAGATCTGGGAGAGGGGAACAAAAATATATGTATATATACAATTTTCTCTCGCTTTATACAAACACAAACACACTTTATACACTTGCGTTTGTATAAAAAACATGAGAGGCGAGGAAGAGAACGAGAGTGGCGAGCGAGATTCACCAGGAGAGAGGTGAAATAGCAATAGTTTGCTATGAGGTACAATTAAATCAAACTATATTTATAGCATTTAATTTGAATTAATAGTTTGCTATTATATACAATTTTCCTCTTTTTTTTTGGGTTGGGGGGGAGGGGCTAGTTTGGGGATAAGGACAAAATAAATTGATTTTTTCAACAAAAAAAAATTGTAATTTAAAGTTGGAAGAGAGTTTTGAAAAGTGTGTTCCTTCCTACCAAACACACCCTAAGAATTGATAGCCCCATAATAATCAAAACTGTTATCAAAAGGGGAATTTTCACAAATAGCTACTATATGAAACTTAATTAGGCTCTCTAGCTATAGTTTGCCTAATTACGTTCCATAGCTATAGTTTCAGTAGCTATGAATATTTTCCTTTGTATATTTCACATGATTTTAATAGTATATACAATTCATTTTTCAAGAATTTGATGAATTTAGACGGTAATTTCGGTTGAGAAAAAGGAAAATAATCTCATAAATTATGGAATTGTATCTCATTAGAGTTTCATACCAAATATGACTCCCTCCATACTAACAAATATTTATTATCAATTGATTTGTATATATTGACTTATATGAGTTAGATATTGTGTTTACTGGAAATGTATACATTGCACATTTATTTTGTATAAGTATAATTTTGATGATATAATTTTTGTATAGTTGTCTAAAAATTAT